TATAGCCCACCCACTTCTATAGATGGAAAAGAGTCAGAACTCTGGAATATGAATCCAAGACTATAATATCCTGGTTAGTAGCTCAAGTTATGAAAGTCTTCTAGTGGAAAGTAAAAATAAACAGCTTTGCTAAAGATTTTTCTCCTCAAATGTTTAATAAGTAAAGGATAGAAAACCTTTCTTTTTAACCTTTAAATAAAACATATTTCAGTATGATTTTCTTGGTGAAATGAAGCCTAATTTATTTAAATTATACTAGAGACAGAAAGCTGAGACAAGAAATAGAAACCCATGATGAAAAACGGAGTTCTAGAAACCTTCAGAATTGCACAACTATGTTAATATGAATTTTCTATCAATTGCAGTTCTCTTCCAGGACGAACGAAGCCCTTGGTCGATGAGAGCTGGCTGGCAACGAGAATCCTGGTAACCCATGTTCTTTATGGTGTGCCATTCCCAACTTTTAAAATTGCAGGATTGGAGTGCAGCCTTCCATTTTATTGGGAACGACAGAACTCTAGTGAGAAAGAACATGCTTCTGGAACATCTTGTCCTTGGATCACCGAGCTGTTTTAGGCCTCAAGATGTAGGCTTTCTATTCTGGTAAACGAAACAGCTACAGGCAGATTGAGAATGTACAAGTAGCCATCACCAACAAGTGGAGTCTGTCACAGGTCACTCAGATAACCAGCCTGGGTAATTATCAAAAAGGGATTTTCCCAGCTGCTCCCCACTGACAGATACCCTTGCCTACCAGCACTGTGGAGTCTGGCTCCCTTTTTGAATGCCAATTTAAACCAAAATATATTTTATTAAAAATTCAGCTTGGGGGGAAACTGCCACAGTCTTTGGTTTGGAACTTTCCAGTAATTCCCAGAATAATTTGGCCCGAGACATACTGGCTGACCACCACTAACTCTGGGGAGAAATATCTAGAAGCAGACTGAGGTTCCTGAGCTGATCACCCTGAAGAGTTAGTGAAGAATAATAGCAGAAATGACTGAAAAAGCCAATGAGCTAGCAAGTGGAAGAGGCATATTGTACAGGCAATCTGCACAGACCCTCAGGAGAACAATCCTGGCAAGAGAACAGTCGTGGCAAGCAGTCACGTATCCTTTATGTGTCTGGATGTGGACAATCTTGGGTTCAAATTCTTCATATAACACATGATTCACCAGGAAAGGACTCGGACTCTGTGTGCTTGGGCCTTCTGATTTGGTAAACTGTGGTGATAATGTGTAAGAAGCCAACAGAGAATATGTGTATAAGACCTTTGCACAGGGGCTGGGGAGGCGGCTGTCAGTTAGATACTTGCTACACAAGCATGACAACCTGAGTTTGATCACCCAGAATCCATATTGCCTTGGTTACTTTTCTATTATTGTTAGCCAAGACACCACAGCCAAGGCAACTTACAGAACAAATTTATTTGGGGCTTACAGTTTCAGAGTCCTTGACCATCATAGTGGGGAACATGGAAGTAAGCAGGCAGGCATGGCGGAGGAGAAAAAAACAAAAAACATAGAGCTTACAGCTTGATCTACATGCAAAAAGCAGAGAAAGCACACTGGAACTGGTGAGAGTCTTGTGAAATCTCAAAGCCTGACCCTAGTAGCACACCTCCTCCAAGGCCACACCTCCTAATCCTTCCCAAATAGTTCTACCAACTGTGGACCAAGAATTCAAACATAAGCATATGGAGGGCCATTCTCATTCAAACCACCACACACTAGATAGCCAGACATACGGAGACACTTGTAATCCCAGTGCTGGGCAAGCAGAGATAGCAGGAACCCTGGAGCTGGCTGGCAGGCTAGCCTAGCCAAGTTACCATCTCCAGGTTCAGTAAAGAGACCCTGCCTGAAAGAAATAAAGTGGAGAGTTGACTGAGGAAGACATCCAATGTCAACCTCCAGCCTCCACATGCACACATGTGCATACACACATGCAAAACAGGAAAAGAGTTTAATGTGTTGTCATGCATAGAGTTGACAAAAAAAAAAAAAAGGCTTGGCTAATCCCTACTGCTTCCATAACAATTATCAGCCACACTCACTCTGTAAGGGTCTTCTCCTCCCTCACCAGATCCTCCAAAGAGAAGCCCAGATGCTGATTTCAAGTCTCCTCAAGGCAGGGAGAGGCCAGCTCTGAAGCATATGTGACAGGCTGTACTTTCCACCACTGTTTTGCCTTCAGCTTTTATTTTTGCCATCTCCGAGTGACAAAATAAATGCACTGCCCATCCCAAGGTAAGAGGTCACACTTCTACTCAAGATGGCATGGAGCCTGATGGTATTCCAGGGTGCTCATGTGCAAGCTGTGAAAAGAACTACTCAATGGACCATAATGGAGCACCCACGTGGAATTTACGTTGAAGGGCTTTTCCTTTCTTTGGTCCAACTGCACAAGAGAGGAACTGGTTCTGAGCTGGCAGGCTTTCTTTCATTTGTCATTATGTTTTACACACAAGGAAATTTTAATGTCTAAAGATGGGAGGTGATGATAAGACTAGAGTTACACATGTTTTTCTGGCAGCCTGGTCACCAGCACTTAAATTCACTTCTGACAGCTCTCTGAATCCGAAGACCGTTAGCACTGAGCTGTCATTTGCCTTTCCAGGGGAGATTTCGGAACTGGCAGTATGTCAAAAGGGAAAAATCGCTCGCTTCTTTATACGTATTTTCAGTATGGCAGTATTTCTCCACACTGTGGGCAATCCTATACTCCTAAGGCACAGAAAGAATAGTTTCTAAGCCTTAGTCTAAGGGAAACCTTGCCCTTGGGCCTGAACATGCAAGTATTGAAAACCAAAGATTAATGCAAAATGGGCAATCTTTCCCTCCAAGAGTTGGAGTCCATGATTGTAAAAGGCCCTTAAGTGTGATGCTTTCTGATCTATTTACTGAATAAAATCTAATGACTGCTTTGAGCTATGGAGAAGGGGGCTATGATCAAACAGTCAGCTCTCTTCGGCAAAGCCACTCATTTTAAGATCTAATCAGAGCAGTGGGTACTAGGGAGGAAGAAGAAGTTAGAATGGACAGAATGCTTCATCTGCCATCAACTGCCAGGTGTCCCTAAGACACCCACTAGTTTTCTGAGTACAAGTTTCTATTGTCTTTATAATAAAAGGCAGCATCACAGAGTAGACGAGAAGGAATCCTGGTGTGATGGATCACATAGGGCCCTGTCCCCTTTACTTACCATATGTTGTCTATGTGCTTCTTATCTCATCTTTCTAGCCTTATTTTCCTCATCTGTCTAATGGATACAGTCACTCCCTCAGTGAAAGTGCTTTCAGAACTGAACCAGAAGGCACAGGTGAGGCGTTCTAAATGTGTGTGCCCCAAATGAACCCCCTGAAATGAGTTTTTACTTCTGCTGCTGGGCTTTCTAGTAATTTTGTTCCTCTACAAATATAGGTGTATTGGGATGAAGAGACAGCATCAGTAACAAAACAAGGCGTGCTGACAACTAAGACTATGGCTTGTTGCCTTGACTTCCAGTGGTCAGCAATGTCCTCCCAGAAGAAGGGGGGATTTGGAAGTGCTCACAAATGCCTGTTAAGCAAATGAACAAGTAGACAAACGAATGATGAGGATGATGAATAAATGTGGGAGCCAGTGCTGTTCCCGGTCTCCAGCCCCTTTTACAGCTCTGACGAGGGATGACAGCTAGTGAGGACACAGCACTGGAAAGAGCACATGATGGGGCTCACATTTCTGATTGGCAGGCCCAGGGGCAGGGTGGAGCTAGCTCTGCCTATGAGTCAGTGAAGGGTCTTCACTTGGGAGTGATATACATCTACAGTACTATGAATAAGCCCAAGGAGTCAATCCACTTGCTTGCTCTGCAAAGATCAAATACTGTGATGGTCTAAAAGACCAGAGTGACCCAGGATAAGTAACCAGGTGACACAGTAGCATTTGAATACCTGGTTGAAAATCCCTTCCCCAACCTCTCATCTGCTCAGGAAAATTCAGCATGGCCTAGTCTGAGCTCTACCAGTCCAGTCATGCTGAAATCACTCACACCATTATTTCCCCCTTGGCACCACTGGGGCTATGATTAACTTAATCCTCATGCTTCAATCATCTCACTGGAAAGTAAAATTAAGTGAAGTTATTTATTAATGAAACCAAAGCCACTATGGTAAATGAGAAACCAGTACTGCTTGCCCTATGGAGGCAACCATAAAAATAAACCTTGGAAACAAAATACTATAATTATAACATAGCTAGCCACCACTGCTTTCATTAGCATGGGGCCTGAGTCTCTGCTTCATGCCTTCCCTCTCCCTTCTTCTTTCCTTCTCTTCTTCATTTCTCTTCTCTGATTTCTTTCTCTGTGGGGAACAGAGTTTGCTGGAGGGTAGAAGAGTAGACAGCCTCTTCCCCAAACTATGGCATTTTGAAGAGCAGATGAAGAATGCTCACTTCCAAAGTCAGCAGATGCAGTGAATGTAAGATCCTACCAGGATAGTGTGTATGAGGACGCACTAGGGGCGGGAAAGGCCTCAGAGTCTTACAACCTGCATCTGTGTTCAAAGCTACATCCACACTCCATGTCAAAGCATCAAAGGCTTGTATAGCACTAGAGAGTATGCTCAGGGGTTCAGCCCTGTCCATGCAGAATCAGTGACGTTCCTGGATGCCCTTAAGGTACACTTTTCCTCGGGTCTGAGAGATGCACAACAACACGTTTGTAACAGGGCACATCTTAAAAATGCCCTAGTGTGTATCAGCCTTACGTGTTTTAACAATGTCTTGTCTTTTCTTTTTGGTCTGTGAAGCTGTTATTAGATTGATGACACATCTCATAACGAGGGTGACTCAGAGTCAGGCAAATACTGTTCACCTTAACAGTGCCAATATAAACGAGCCTCCGGTTTGGATGCCAAGACAGCACTGCAGCCTTGCGTTCTCCTGATAATGTTCATCTGATAAAGACATTACAATAGCAAGGAATAATGATGTATAACCCCTCACTGAAACACTCACATATTCTTGGCCTTGAACGCTTCAGCAAAATGTTGCACGCTACGGAGCACAGCCAGGTCCAGGGTCATTGCTTCTACCTTGGCTTTGTGCTGGAATGAGAGAAAATAAAAAAGAAATGATAAATAACAGCAAGTATAGTTCGTGGTATCAAGTTACAGTAAATGCGTTATGGAACATGTCGGAATTCCCCTGTTTAATATTAGACGCCCAGAGAGACGATAGATCATCAGAATGAATGGAAGAACACAGCTTTTACTGCCAAGTCCGGGGAGCACGTGAGGCTGGGACTCGGCTGGAGCTCTGGGCTGGGGGTTGTGCATGGCTTCAGTCAGTACACAGAAGAGACTCCAAGGAGTCTTCTAGCTCATGTTATCTTTAAATATGTGCTCCAAAGAGCTGCATCTATGGGAGTGGGCACCAGAGCAAGCCTGGCCACAATGGAATGAACAACACTGTAATCTCAAAAAGATTCCACCGAGGTTCTGAAACACTTCCACTAAGCCTACATCACCCTTAAAGACAATCCAGCCAGGGTTGATGGTATATGCTTGTAACCCTGACACCCCATCGATGAGCTTCAGGTCAGCCTGGGTGAGTTTAAGGCCAGATGAGATGATATGGTGAGAAATTTTTGTAATCGGAAATAAATTCAAGGTGGGGCTGGGGATGACTAGTTAGGAAATTTCTTGCCATACAAGCAAGAGGATGTGAGTTTGATTCCTAGAACTTATGTGTGATTACAAGCCAGATGTGATGGCACATGCTTGCAATCCAAGCACTGGGAAGGTGGAGAGAGGAGGATCCCTGGGGCTTGCTGATCAGCCAGTGTAGTCTACCCAGAAATTCCAAGCCAGTGAGAGACTCTACACTAAAAACAACAGCAGCAGCAGCAAAGAGAGAAGGCTCAGCAGTTAAGAGCACTTGTTACTCTTCCAGAAGACCAGAGTTTGGTTCTCAGCATGTTCAATAGCTCACAAATGCCTGTAACTCCAGCTTCAGGGGATCTGATGCTCTGTTGCCTTCCAAAGTTATCCACCTGCACTTGTGCAAGTACATGCCTGCACTCACACAATGCTCACATTTAAAAATAAATCTTTAAAATTACTGAACAGCAGGGAATACTATCTCCCAACTCTTCAGGGTGGCATTTTATTTATTTTTTTCTTTTTGGGTTTTTCGAGACAGGGTTTCTCTGTGGCTTTGGAGGCTAGCTCTTGTAGACCAGGCTGGCCTTGAACTCACAGAGATCTGCCTGCCTCTGCCTTCCAAGTGCTGGGATTAAAGGCGTGTGCCACCACCGCCCGGCTAGGGTGGCATTTTAGGAGACTAGAGAGCAATGAATGGGAAAGGACTGACCCCAAATCAGTCTTACTAGAGGGAACAGGATTGGGTACAGTCTAGTGGATACCATCTTCCTGGCAGGATTCTGCATAGACAGACCTCAGAGCTATTGTTCTGAGACCTCATGTTTACAGAGTATTTTAAACTTCTAAGTCTGGGTAAACTGTGGGGAACAAGATTAAATACTACCTCTTTCTGAGACCTACCTTCTTCCAAGAATGTCCAGCACTACCTATCTTCTCAGGTACAGAAACCTCATGAAACAAATGGTAAACTTGGGAATTCTAGTCTAGACTGTGATATGTAAGTCAGACTAAGGAGAATAGAAGGACCCCTTCAATGCCGTGAAGCAGATGCAGGCTGTCTTACCCGGGAGTGGATTTGGGCTGGGCTGAGCAGTAGCCAGCTTAGCTTGGCTGCCTCTGTGCTGGGTTCTAACCCAATTTACAAACTTTGAGCAAAGATCATAAGCCAGTGACTGTAGAAATAATACTGACTTTGAACCATTTAACATTTCTGAGCCTCAGTTTCCTCATTTGCAAAAGCTGAATTAACTATTAATAAGTCCTAACGAAGATATTCAGTAAATTTAACTAGGAGAAGGTATCTCCTGTGTCAAGTTCTAACTCTAATGCCATGTTACAATAAGAATGGTGATACAAGATGTGAATGACTTCCAAAGACCCTCTTTGAAGACCACATCAGACCAGATCACTGACACTAGATCCCATAGGATCCAAGTCATGGTTACTAACAGAGTCCAAGTTTAGGAAAAAGTAGAATAGAGTGATTAAGTGGTTTCTCCAGATACAACAACATGCCAGTGGCTATGACAAGATTGGCTTGTTGTAAGTAGAAAAGTCCTAATTTGGGGTGACAATGGCAGCTACTGAAATGTTGCTATCTTGGAAGGAAAGCATCAATAGGATCCAGGAAAGCAAGGATGCTAGCAGAGGATTCTCTTTCTTCTCCTAGTCAGGGAGTCATGGAGCTGGATGGGTCACACAAGGTTCAGCTCAGCACACTGCTCTTACAAAGGACCTGACTTTAGTTCCCAGCACCCACGTCAGGTGACTCACAACCATCTGTAACTCCAATCAGGGGATCCAATGACTCTTGTCTCAGTGGGTTACCTACCCTCTTGTGCACATTACCTACATACCTATATACAATTAAAAACAACCCTTTTTTTTTAAACAAATAGAAAGAGGTATGGTGGTGTGGACCTGTAATCCCAACAATGAAGAGGGAAAGGAAGAAAGATGAGGAGTTCAAAGTCAGCCAAGGCTGCACAAGGAGATGAAAGCCACAAAGAGACACCTGAGCTGCTACCATGGCACCCAAAGGAAGCAGAGTAAGGTCACATCTGTGTAAAGCGATGGAGCCTCAAAATGATAAGCAAATCCCACAGTTTTCTTGTTTGTTCACTTGTTCATTTTTCTGTCCTGTAAGTGGTATTTATCCAATATGTTAAAATTCTGCTGAGCATATAAAATTTGTTAATAGTTGACTTGTATTCCCCACATTCTTTTTTTTAAATCATTCTTTTTATTTGAATTAGAAACAAGATTGTTTTACATGACAATCCCAGTTCCCTTCTCCCTCCCATCCTCCCCTACCATCCCCCAACTAAAACCCTACCTATCACATATCCTATCTTATATTCTTCCCCTGACTTAACCTTTCTGCTCCCTCATGACCTCTGCATCCCTCCTCTTCTTCCCTTTCCCGTGCTCTCAATTTGCTCAGGGGATCTTGACCCTTTCCCCTTCTCCAGGGGACCATGTATGTCTCTCTAAACGCTGTTTAGTTTTTTGCCTACTTGTGCTCTCTTAGGGTCCTCCTTGTTTACTAGCTTCTCTGGTAGTGTGGATTGTAGGCTGGTAATCCTTTACTCTATGTCTCAAATCTGCATGCGAGTGAGTACATATCATGTTTGCCTTTTTGTGATTGTATCCCCCACATTCTTGTGCATGATAACACTCAAGTACTTGATTGGACCTTTAGGACAAGCAGATGAGCTGTCAGCCCCATCAACAGCCCCTAACTCCCATGCTTCCCATCCCCCTTTACCCAGGGCAAGACAATCATTGCAATATACAGAATCCTACAGAAGTGCAACTACATCACAAAGAAAAGTCAGGCATTTGTTAAAGACAGCGTTCCTTCCTGGAAACCCCAAAGGACATGCATGCTACACATTATGAAAATACATGTACATATTTCCCTCATAAAACAGGGAGAACATTCCCAGATGGTGACCCCAAAGCAATCCAAGAGAAATGATGGTGGAGCCAAGTGACCCACACATTCCTCTCTACGTGTAACTTAAAATTGGTAGGTTATCTTTTGGTCCCCTTCCACTTTTTTTCTTCAAAGTACAGCACTTAGCTGCCATTGTTAATAAGAACAAAACCAGGACATATATATCCAGGGGGAGGGAGGGGTCACCCAACTAATCCATGAGATGTGGGTTACTAAGCTCCTGGGGATAGAGACTCCAGTCCACACACTATTATTCAAAGAGTTCTCCTGCCCTGGATATCAGATTTCTTGCTTCTGAAAAACTGTATGCAACTCCGTGAAGTTGAGGGGGGATGTGGCTTTGGGAATTAACATAGGGGTTTGTGTTTACTCCTGTGCTAGGGAGGGGGCTTGCTCTCCTGATTGCCTAGCAAACTTAGCAGAAAAGTGTAGCCTGGTGAATAGACATCGGACAGAACTCATTTCTGAAGTGTGGAATTGTGGATTATCAGGGGAGGGAAGGCAAGAGACTCAACCTGCCAGTGATTGATCTAGAGCAGGCCACAAATCACTGTGCTGGTTTAATGCATGTGCTTTTATTTGGATGTAGTGACAGACTTGCAAGAAGAAGTCAAAACTGGTCCATAGGGTCTCACATGCACATTATCCAGCTACCCAAAGTGGAGATATCTTACCTACGTTATTAAAACCTGAAAATCTCAACACTGGCAATACTAAATATATTAGATCAGAGTCAGTAGGAAGGTTTTACCAATTTGGAGATGCATTAATTTTCTTTCATCTGCTTGGTCTATCTCCATGTCAAATTATGTGACATTTTGCTGTGTGCGCTGTTTAGTTTTTTGCCTACTTGTGCTTAGTTGTTTTTTTTTTTTTTTTTTTTTTTTTTTTTTTTTTTTTTGTGTGTGTGTGTGTGTGTGTCAAGTTGACATAATGTAAGGTCATCTGGGAAGAGAGAACCATTACTAAAAATGTCTCCATCACATTGGCCTATGGACAAGCCTGTGTAGGCATTTTCTTGATTAGTGATTGATGTGGAAAGGCTCAGCCCACTGTGGGTGGTGCCATCCTCTGGACAAGTGATCCTGGGTCACATAGTAAGCAAGCTAAGCAATATAGTTATCATCACTTTTCCATGTTTTTTGCTTCAGTTTCTGCCTCTAGATTACTGCCCTGCTTCAGTCCCTGCCTTGGCTACTCCTAGCACAGTGATCAGGACATGTAAGTCTAGTTGCTTTTGGTCACCATATCTTTATCACAGCAATAGAAAACCAAAAGGACAATCTACCATTTCATATAATCATTCCCATCGTCAAGATTTAGAAATGACCCATCACTATAAAAAATTACTTTTATTAACAAGTGACTCAATTAACATGTGGCATCCAAAACAGGGAGAGTTTTGTTTGGCCAAAGCCTGTTCTCTACTTAGGCAACACATACTAGCAAAAATCCTTTTTGCAATTCAGACTGACCAGCAAAA